GTTATTATTAGTATGTTATGTGGTATCTCTTCCTTTGAAAGAAACATTAAATAGTATTAAAATCGTATTGGTAGACCTTTTGTAGCTAAACACTTCCGTGATTTCATCAGTGTAATATGATTTATTTCGAAAGAAAATGCTTTTTTGGGAAGACATAATCTAACTTCAAAGGGAGCTATATCCGTTACAGTGTAAGTTTGATTTTTCCAGTCAGTTTCAAGTCAGTTCATATCGTACTTCTGAGCCAATGAATGAACCATCTAATACTTTCTTATTAAATGGTGACCATACAAAGTAGCAGAGTTTTCAGAAATTGATTGTGGGGTTACTGTTAAAGCTGGAATTCATTGACATGGGGGATGTCAGTTAGTTGTCTCAGCCTTATCAATAACATAAAGTTGTCAATATAATCTCTCTACGGAATGTTAGGTGTAGTGGAATATACTTGAAGTGAAGTTGGCTTTTATTCTTGAACTGGGGCCTCCTCGTTTATATGGTCGTGAGGCTTCATTGGCAGCACATAATGTAAATAACATAGCAATGTGGCATTTCTAAAAAGCAAAAAATACTGTAAATTGGCTGTTACGTCTATATTGACGTTTACATATTGTTAATCAACGTATCTTATAAAGGATTATGTGATCTAGTTTTAAAAACGAATATGACATTTCTGTCATGACAGTAGCTGCTTAAATAGTATTTTCTCTTTGTAGCCTACCATATTTTACAGCCAAAATGTCATGTTATTTTCAATAATGTTACCAACCCAGTGCGCCAAAGTTCGTTATATAGGCAGGTGCAAATAATGTGTCAAGATGGGTACCATTTTAGGCAAGGTTTCTATGTTTGGGTTTTATTAGACGCCATAAGAGCATATATTTCCACATAAATATTTTATATGTGTAGAATAATACGATAAAATGTAGGCAAAAGTGGTGAAAAAAGCAATGTTTACCTTTTGATTCAGCCTCATTCACGGAATCAGAAGTTTCGGGATTCTTCATCGATCTGTCCTCATCTTCTTGGACGTTACCAACACCATTTGAAGAACTCGTATCTAATGTTACATGCTTGCTTTCTTTAATCCCCTCACTTACAAACTGGTCTACTCCTTGGATGTTGTTGTTGTAAATATTTTTTATTTGAGTTTCAGCACTGGCTACTTCTTTCTCTGTTTCAAAATTATCTACATGCTGCATGTCTTCTTGTAGTTTCATGTTTTCTATTTTCGCATTGACACTTTTCATAATCATATCTTGCATTTCAGCTGCATGTTTGCTTTCTTCAACTACCTCACTAACAGAATGGTCATCCAGGATTTTGTTTTCATCATTTTTGACCAAACTACTTTCAGCACTGTCTACTTCTTGTTCTGTTACTACAGAGGATTCATCCAGATTTGAACTGAGTGCAATTTCAAGCGAATCCTCCACAAACTGCTGCATGTCTTCTTGTAGTTGCATGTTTTCTATTTTTGCATCAACACTTTCCATAATCATGTCTTGCATTTCACCTTCATGTTTGCTTCCTTCAACTACCTCACTAACAGACTGATCTTCCAGGATTTCGTTGTTTTCATCATTTTTGACCAGGCTATTTTCAGCAATGTCTACTTCTTGTTCTGTTTCTACAGAGGATTCACCCAAATTTGAACTGAGTGCATTTGCAAGTAAATCCTCCACAATCTGCTGCATGTCTTCTTCCAGTTTTATGTTTTCTATTTTCTTATCAACACTTTCCATAATCATGTCTTGCATTTCGGCTTCTTTTTGTAGATCCTGGGTGTTTTCTGCATTTCCTCCAGTTACGTTTGAGTCATCCACTTGCGACATACTACTAGCACCGATCAACTGTTCAGCAACTGACTCGCCATTTGTATACAGAGATACAAAATTGGGTTCACCATCAGAGATTATTTTCAATTCAAATGAGACTCCGTCTTCATTTGCAAGTTTGTGGAACATGTCACTTGTTACTGCGTCCCATTCACCATCTCCCGGTTTGACTAAAGCGCAGTTCATTGCTAGAGCAAGAATCTTCAATAGATCATCAGGAAGCTCTTTTAATTTAGCTACTTTTACACTGTTACCGTAGTCAATAAAAGTGACTTTTATTTCATTTTCTGAGTGATCAATTATTTTTGCTCAATACCACAAGTTGTCTTCATCAAATTGAGCGGCTACAATTTTACCCTTAGAAATGGAGTCATTCCTGAGGAGTGGAAACTCTTTAGCAGCAACAAGTCGTTCATCTATAACTTTCAAAAGTTGAGTAGCTTCTGCTGTATGGAGGAAAAAATCATTAGGCGAATTCACATGTATCAAGAATACGGTCTTTATTATGCTTTCATCTGTAATAGTCTCTACTGGAATATCAGAGCCCTCAGCGAATCTGCCTCCTTCTACGACCCTTTTAAATGGTGAGTTATCTAGAGCCACAGCGAATCCAAACTCTACTAATTCTTCAGCCAAACTCTGACCTGAACTGTCCACCAACTCAACAATCCATCCAGGTTTGTTCCTCAGAATGACAGCGTTGTACTCAGTTTCTCCTGCTAGTTCCATCAGGTTTTCCACTGGGACGGACCAAGTCACATGAAGAGACACGGGCAAAGCGAGAGCATGTGGTGTGTAGAAAGATGCGTCAAGCTGTCGCAGATGGGAGGAAGGAATAACTTCAGTGTTTCCATAGTCGACATATTGAACTTTAGTTTCTTCTCCAGTTTCCAATATTTTAGCTCTGTACCATTGTTCATCGGCAACTGATTTAGCACAGCAGAGGTTACCATTATTCCATTCTTGTTCGACAGGTTCAGAATCATTATAAAATTCATAAAGCTTCTAGAGTAAATCTGCTAGAAGATCATCAGCATATGCGATTTTGTGCAAAAAGATGCCGTCTTCACTGGCATGTGCAATACAGACCTTCTGATGCATGTTGAGGATCGGCATGGGACAGACCTTCTCTACTGACTGCACCTCATTCTCTTGCAGGTCAAGTAGCTGCCCTTCGCCGTCAAACAGTGTCACTTGCAATCTCAAAATGTACAGGTTATTGTGTTACGTTACTAGACATTACTCATAAAAAAACACACAATTAAAATATTTTTGACTTTACTATTACTTAACAGTTCTATTTAAAGAAACAGTTAGTTGTTGGTGAACAATTTCAACCTTGCTGGACGATAATTATCAAACAGCTATACAACAGCTATTATTAAATGTCTCTTTTAGCGAATTTCTCATATAGGGAATAAGCTATTACCGTAAGTCTCATGGTAAGACCTTGATCCGGGACCAATTAATTTTTTTGTTTTGAGGCCCCCAGAGGTCAAAAACTACTTCCATTTAAATTCATGTATATATGTCCGTTAGCGCAATAACTCAAGAAATGATCTGATTTCGATGACATTTGGTCCAAACTCGTTAGCGCAATAACTCAAGAAATGATCTGATTTCGATGACATTTGGTCCAAACTCGTAAACAATGTTCATTCAAACGAGTTTGTTTATGGGAACAGGAGTTTATGGAGTTTTAACAAAATGCCCTAAAAAACACAATTTCAAATTTTTTTCATAAATCATTTTGTAGAGATTTTAAAAAAGAAATTAAAATATTGAATGGTTATAGTGTGCCTAACAGTTACTGAGAAAACAAAAAAAAAATAAAAATTCCCATGTTATTCTTATGTAGAATAAATAAACTGTTGAAGTTTTCTTCTTTTTTGTAATACAATTTGGCAACTTTATTTCATGCTCCCTATCAACATTTCAATTAAAAAACACACCTCATTACCTTTCCTGAAGCAGAAAACTTTAAAATCTCAGTAACCCAGTACTGTTATTTAAATAGTAAATAAATCTGTCAATGTTGAGGGAATATTATAGGGGAAGGGGAAATATAAATAGCCAGGTAAATGGAAATTCGCTTTGTCTGCAGGTTTGCTACGGCGGGGGTATTTTATTTTTGTTGCATATTCATTATTAATATATTTTATGAAAGATTTAGAGAAACAACCCCTTTTGCAGGTTTTAAATTGGGTTCCTATTGACAGCAATATCATAAATAAATTGGTTTAATAATTATTATTTATTTAAATGAATGGAACAATCAATTTTTGTAGGCATGGCCGTTATTAATCTTTAAAACATAATAATACTAAATTTAACTACTGTACCATGAACCCAGAGCACTCTAATTTAAAATTATTTAAAATGAGCACAACAAGAGAGTAAGCAGCAGGTCGATATGCAGGGTGTCTTGCAACCTTATGAACAATCTTTGTCACTTTATTTTCATGTCAAAAGAAACAAAAAATGTAATATAACAACAACATATGTCCTATCCTATTCTGTTTTCGGTCTATCTGTCTGTATGTGAATTTACAAAAACTCCTTAACTGTTTGAGCTACAGCGTTGAAGTTCTGTAAAAATGATTATCTTATTGACCACTATTTTTGTATAAAATATGAATAAATCTCTTGTATTGTTTAAAAATGGTGGATTTTTAGATATTGGATGCCAAATTCTATGAAAACCACTAATTTTACAACATATTTGCTTCACATGTAAATTTAGTAAATATTAGGCAGATTACAACGATATCTTATAAGCTTAGTTTAGACAAAGAATAACTGATAGATTAATTATTTTCTTGTTATAACTTCAGTTTTCTCCATTTCAACAATGTTAAATTGATAAAACTAAATTTTAACATAGTTAACAGCAGTTTTTACTGTTGATGCAACTGGAAATAATTTAATTTTTTAATTGAAACGGTTGTCCATATTGAAAAAGAAACAAGAAGTCAATGGTGTCAATAGTCAATAGCCAAACAGTTTAAAATATAAAAGTGTTGAATTAAAATATTTTTCTGATTTAAATTCTACTCAGTAAACTTGTTCTACTATTATAACAAGCAAAAATGGGCAAGTGATTGTAGATAGGCAAAAGTTGTTTGATTTTCATACAGGTATGTTCAGTTCTTTAGTTTTACCCACCCTTCACTCTGTGCTGCGTCGACCAGCATGATGACATATGTGTCAGCAGGTAGCTGAGTGAAGGCTTGCCGTTGTTCGTCAGTTGCTGTTTCTTTGACATTGCTCAATACACACTTGACACCTTGACCCGGCTGCAACTCGAGGCTCTGCAACTGCAACAAACAATACATTCCACTCAACCATCAGATCCAACTATTTCCTACACTACGTTGGACTTTTCATAATTTGTCACTCATAGAACCAAGAAGGTGTCGGATTACTGAAAAAGTTACCAAAAATAGCCACTAGGTGAATCAATCAAATCTAATTGTACTCTTCTATATACTATTGGACATTAAAATAAACCAGTTGGCATCTTTAACAAACAAAAAAAAAAACAATGCATTTACATTTAACTTTCAATACACAAATTATACTACAAATAGGACTCAGCTCAGATATGTTATTACTCACTAAGATTAGTGGGTACAACCTAGTCACATATTCCTGCAGGGAAGAGCATAGAATGGGAGGAGTTGCAATCTATATCCAGGAAACTGCTGCTATCAAGGCAGAAGAAATAGAAATCTCCAACCAAAGTTTACAGTTAGTTTTTGAAGCAGCATTAGTGAAAATAAGGATAAAGAACAAAAACTTCTACTTACCTGGTATGTATAGATCACCAGGGGGACAAGCTAGGTTAGCCATTGACATCCTATCAGAAGTTCTGGAGTCACTTCAAGCTGACACCAAGACCGTTGTATTAATGGGCGATATCAATATAGACAGGCTAACTGAAAATGCCAGTAGTAACTATCTTGAAGAGGAACTGTCAACTTTTGGAGTTAGAAGACTACCACTCCCAGCGACAAGAATCACTAACCATTCAAGAACCTCTATAGACTGTATCTGTACGAATACACATGATAATGCTATAGATTTCGCTATAATTAATGCTGGAATAGCAGATCACACAGGCCAAACATGTACCCTCAAAATACAGAGTGAAGTTACTGCTAAAACGGGTATGTCACAAAAAAAATTTTTTTCAGGAAAAAACCTGGATAGCATGAAAGACGAACTCTCCAAAGAAAACTGGATAAAGGTGCACAATGCCCCTGATGCTGAAGAGGCATACTCTGCATTCCAAAGGACTGTAAGGCTCATACTGGACCATGCCTGCCCTATCAAAAAAATAAGAGCTAAGCAGAAAGGACAGAAAATTAAGGTTCAGTATGATGAAGAAGTCAAAATACTAAAAGAAGAAGATTTTCTAGATGCCTTACACCGATACGAGCTTACCGGAAATGTAAATGATAAAACAACAATGTCGGAAAAAAGAAAACATATGATTTAAAGCTCAGGTCCCTCAAGCGACAAGCCACTGCAGAATACATCACAAGTGCTGATAATAAATCCAAAGCTGTCTGGGAGATCATCAACAAAGAAAAACAATGTAAACAGAAGGAAGAACCAAATCTGCAGCTAGAAATAGAGGGAAAAATATCAAGATAACCCTACTGACATTGCTGAACACCTAAACCAATATTTTGCAGAAATAGCAGACTCCACTTTAGAGAAAAACAGAAGCCAATTCAAAAACAAAAAAATTACACATCCACTATTTCTACCACAAAGCAATGTCCAGCTACTAATTTTAACTCCTACAACCATTAAAGAAGTCTTAGCAACAATAGCCTCACTGAAATCAAAGCTGTCATGTGGAGTAGATGAAGTGCCATCAAAAGTTGTAAAACACTGTGCCGAACAACTGGCAGCCCCACTTGTCAGCATAATAAACAAATCTTTTAGCCTTGGACAATTTCCCTCCGCCCTAAAAATAGCAAAAATATACCCAAAGCACAAAAAAGGCTCACGCACTAAACAAGAAAACTACCGCCCTATCTCATTAATATCAACCTTTTCAAAAGTAATAGAAAAGGTCGCTCTGTCAAGAATGCTGAGTCACTTGAAAAGCAATGATCTAATCACTAAAAACCAACATGGTTTTCTCAAAGGGAGGTCCACCACCACAGCTCTAACTAGTTTAATCGAACAAATCATTGACCATCTAGAAGCACGCAGATATGTATCAACAGTCTAACTTGACTACAGCAAAGCTTTTGAGTGCCTGGGCAATAATCTCATCCTAAGGAAACTCACAGCCCTAGGAATAGAGGGAATGGCCAAAGACTGGGTGGCAAGCTATTTGAAAAGACGTACACAAATTGTCGAAATCCAGCAAAACACAAATGGGAGAAAATCTGTACATAGGTCCACACAACTTTCGATTAACAGGGGAGTGCCCCAGGGCTCAGTCATGGGCCCATTTTTGTTCATCCTTTTCACCAATGATTTTCCAGATTTTATTAGGAATGACAATTGTGAAACAATAATGTACGCTGATGACACAACTCTTCTATTTATGCATGACTTACCACAAGAATTACACTCCAACATCTTATCCTCAACAGACAAAGCACTGCAGTACTGCCTTCAAAATGACCTGGCCATTAATCCATCAAAAACAACCCAGTTAAATTTCAGCCGAAAACATTCGAACAAATCCAAGAAATTCCTGAAATAACCGTTGAAAAAAACTCAAAACTGCTGGGCCTGACAATTGATGAAGACCTCTCCTGGAACGACCACATACACAACCCGACCAAAAAACTTGCATCTGGTGTCCATGTAATAAAGAGGATGAAATGGATAGGAGGTCTGGAAACAGCTAAGACAGCATACTATGCTGTAATAGAATCGCATATAAGGTATTGCTTAATATCTTGGGGAGGAACATCAGAAGCAAACCTCAACAAAGTGTTGGTACTCCAGAAAAAAGCTGTCAGGACACTCTCCGGCCTTGAGCGCTTAGACAGCTGCAGGGAAGCATTTAAATCCCTTAAGCTCCTAACAGTGACAGCACTCTACATCCATGGAGTTGTCCTGTACACAAAAAAACTTAACCTTCCCAGAAATGAGAATTTTCACTCCTACCACACCAGAAAAGCAGCCGACTACAACCTTCCGATCCACCACACTACACAATACAACAGAAAACCCTCTTATATTGGCCGAAAAATCATCAACTCTCTTCCAAACAACCTCAAGAACGCAACAGGAAACCAATTCAAACAGCAACTCTGGGACTGGCTTGTGGACCGACCGGTGTACTCCCTTACGGAATTTTTTGACCAATTATGAACTTTCAACACAAAAGAAAATGTAAACTATTAAAACAATCTAAATGTTAAACATTCTGAATTTTTCTGACGCCATTGTATTTCTTTAAGAAATCACAAATAAAGAAAATTGTCTATTGTCTATATTCCAGTATTGCACACATCATGATATCTCTCATGATTTCATCACATCATTGAACTGGAGTGATCTAGACTATTAAGTGTCAGATTATCGATAATCAAATGCATACAATTTAGGCCAATAAGCCACTTTCATAACTTTATCTTGCAGATCTGTTACTAGAGTAGAATATTTTGTTCCTCCATAAACCTATTTAAAATTACTCCCCTTATTTGAATTATTGTCTGTTTCAGAAAGGTCATTGGGCAATACGAAAAGTGTTACAATATTTGTCTTGGCACTTCCTGAACTTATAAAAAACCCCACCTCTCAAGTCTCAATGTTAACTATAGTCTGCACAAAACCTGTTGGTACCTATATAATTGTACAAGTTGAATTTACTTGAGTATTGAGCAAAGTGTTAATTTCACATAACTTCTACATCAAGACAGCAGAATATATCAACATTGACTAAAAACAAATTTAGTAAATATTAAATACATGCATCTAAACTATTTTGCATAATTATATTCTTAACTCACGAAATAAGTGCTTCCTTAATTTGAATAATGATTGATAGCTTACCTCTCCATCCTCAGAGGCTGGTTGGGCGTAGACAGTGTAATCCTCCTGTACCTTCAGCAAAGTGACAGGCAATGCCTGGCCTACAATCAGGTTGGTGTCCAATTCACTGGCCACTCCCACAGCTAAAACAAAATATACTGTAGGCTATTAACAATTAATAACATCTCCTAAACTATTAAAAAACTAGTAACTGGAACACCTAGGTACTCTTTGTTTGAAGTTCATTGTTGGTGATGGTGAGTTAATGTTGTTCAATGGTTTATTGCGGACAATTTCCATCACGAATGTAAAAAACAATACACAACGTTTCGGGATCTGGAATCTGATATAAGATATAATTCTTATATCTGATATATAAGAATAAAAATCATCATTAATACACAACAGCACATCAGCCATAGCTCAACTGATGTTTCTAGAAACTATTTGATCATAGTCGAGTTGGAAGGGTCTGCCAATCGGAGATGAGGTAGCCTAATGGAGTGCTAGAGAAATGTCTGTGTTTAAGACTATTTTACAAATAAGGTCTGAAAATCATACTAGTCCCGATTACAGTAATAATTTCTGCACATAATTAAAATATAACTGGCAAATTACAATACTAACTTCTTATACTCAAATTCAACTGGCTTTGAATAAACCATCCCTAGTAGCAAAAAAATATTTTCATTATATTGAAACAATATTGTCCAATATTTACAACAATATTGTTTTGATATTTTGCCAATATTGCACAATATTGAAATATGTTCCCAATATTGTTCAATATTGTAAAACAATATTGTTTAGGTAATATTCAAACAATATTGTTTTAATTCCTTTCCAATATTGAACAATATAAAATGTTGTTATCAACTTAGTTTAAATATTGATGAAATATTCAATAAATATCGGCAACACAATATCATGTTAGTAGTTAACAAACCAATTTTGCACCATTGGCATAAACAAACCTACTATTATAACATTTTATTGTGCACTTTAGGAGATTTTTTATCAGCTATCATCATTGTAGAAATTGTTGCCATATGCCACTGTCAATTATTACAATGCAGGGTGTCTGGTCTGTAAAGTCCATCACTAAACTTCATAATGGTTTATTGGGTTAAAATAAGCAAAACAGTTCCTCTAGGGGTATGTACTAAAATGCATACCCAAGTAGCACACATTGTTGGCCAAATTTAGGGAAATGGTCGGCACGGTTGGGAAATGGTTGGAGGAAATTTTAACTCCTTGCCAACGTTGGCCCAACGGAAAATTTTATTTGTTGGCCCTACAAAGGAAAGAATCGTTGGGCCTTTGTTGGATTTAAGTATAAAACATTCTAAAATGCATTTTAACAAATTGATTTATTTATAAGAACATAAATGCTATGACAACAGAATATAAGACAATTTTGGAGAACTGTTAATCAGGTATCTAGTATCACAACATCATCTGACTACATTTATTATAGATCCAAATTTTTACAATATTTGTCTTATATTCTGCTGCCATAACATTTATGTACTTTTAAATAAATAAATTCGTTAAAATGCGTTTTAGAATGTTTTATACTTAAACCCAACGATGGCCCAACGATTCTTTCCTTTGTAGGGCCAACGATCGAATACCAGTTTCTGTTGGGCCAACGTTGGCAAATCGTTAAAATTTCTGCCAACCATTTCCCAACGTTGGGCCGTGTGCTACTTGGGTATCCATTGTTATCAGATCTGTTGGCGAATTTGTTTTGTTGGCATACCATACGACTTATCTCAACTGCAACACATATTGTGTAAGGAATAAAATAATAATAAATCTTGATTTTAAAATTGGTTATGGCCTTCCGTGAACAATAATGACTAAATCCAAAATGTTTAGCCATTTAAAGATCAAAACTAATGTTTTTACCAACTATCTTCATCCCAACTAGGTACAGTATCATGTTTTTTGTTGCGGTTGGCGGTCATATTGTGGAGTTATATATAGGATAAAGGAGCTGGTCTGTTCTTCCAATTATAATAGTAGGCCTATATATAAAGGGCTTTAGAGAGGTGCTTTTACAATGTAGGCCTATTCGACGAACTAAAAACTGACAATGACTAATTTTTTAAAACTATTTTTGGAGAGTCTTCTGACTATCGTAAAGAAACATCTACATTTGGTTAAAGGAATGGCACTTTTACCTGAAGAATGTGTGTCGCCAAGTGCGCTGCATAAATGGCTCCATTATACTCAATGAGGACGCGCGCAACATTCTTTACTGTGGCGCTCCTTAAAACCGACATGAGTATTTAATGCTTATTTTGCTTGGAGCGACTGTAGTGATAGTCGCACAGCAATTATTCATAGTTAGCTGAATACCAGCATTCACAATAGTGAAATCATGAGTCAGGCCCGTTTTCGACTATGTCAGCGCCCTAGGCACTACTAAAATACTAGCGCCCCTTTGCAATATATATAACAGGGTGACTACCAACCGGGAAATCTGGGAATTAAGCGTGATTTTTTTTTAACCCGGAATTATGCGTGAATTTTGTATTTCTACCTGGAATTGTCAATTTACCGCAATGGCGCATGACAACAGCGACGTTTCCGTGACCACGGGAGACAACACAAGGCCGCGAGGGATGATCAGAACTTTGCCGCGATCGCATGAGAGACTATGATAATGTCTACACGACCGCGGCATATGATCATGATTTTACCACGATCGCGCAATACGATAATGAGATCTACAGAGCCATGAAGGATGGTCAGAATATTGCCGCGATCGCATGACACAATGATAATGTCTAAACGACCGCGGGATATGATCATGATTTTACCGCGATCACGCAATACGATAATGAGATCTACAGAGCCGTGAAGGATGGTCAGAATATTGCCGCGATCGCATGACACGATGATAATGTCTAAACGACCGCGGGATATGATCATGATTATACCGCAATCGCGCAAAACGATAATAAGATATACAGAGCCGCGATGGATGATCAGAATATTGCCGCGATCACAGAAGACGAAGATAATGTCCACACAACCACGGGAAACAGTCAGAAATTTGACGATAATGATCTCCACATGACTGCAGGATATTATTATTCCACTTTGATGTCTTCACGACCGCGGGAGACGATTACGATATCTTCACGACCGCGGGAGACGATTACGATGTCTTCACGACCGCGGGAGTTGATTACGATGCCTTCACGACAGCGGGAGACGATTACGATGTCTTCACGACCGCGGGAGACGATTACGATGTCTACAGGATCGCGGGAGTTACAATAATGATGGCTACTCTACACGGCTGCGAGGGATGATCAGAGTTTTACCGAGATCGCGTAAGACGATGTTAATGTCCACTCCACCACAGGAAAGATCAGAATTTGGCCTCATTCGCAAAAGACGATGAAGACCTCCAAACGACCGCGGGAGATGAGTACCATTTGCCGCAATGGCAGGAGGGGATCACAATGCCTCACGACCGCGGGAGGCGATGATGTCTTCATGGCTGTGAGGGATTATCAGAATTTTATCGTGATCACGCAAGAAGATGATAATGTCCACACGACCCCGGGAAAAGATTACAATTTTGCTTCATTCGCAGTAGACGGTGATAATCTCCTCACGACCGCGGGATGTGTTCATATATTGCCGCGATCAAGGAAGACGACAATAATTATGCTGTCCACACGTCCGCCGAAAATAGTCAGAATTTTGCCGTGATCGCGGGAGACGGACGATGATGACGTATACACAACCACAGGAAAAATTAACATCTTGCCACAATTGCGGGAGACTGTTAAGATGTCTACACGTCCGCGAGGGATTATCAGTTTACCGCGATCGCGTGCAAATACAGCCACAATTTTTGTTATTTTCCAATTTTTTGGCGCCCCCCAAAAATGACAATTGCCTCGCGCCCTAGGCACGTGCCTACCATGCCTATTCGGTAAATCGGCCCTGTCATGAGTGCGTGATGCAACCTTTTTAAAGTATCTCCTCAGTGAGGAGTTATAAGACGAAGCTCTACTTGACCATAGTGTAAGTATCAATAGACGATCGATTAAAAAATATATAGTGATAGCCTACGTAGTGGGATTTGGTACAGATACATATCACTAGACGTCACTATATAGGAGATAAATAGAAAACTGTAGTGATATCAATAAAACAATTATTTATATCAATTTAAAAAAAATAGTGATATCGATTAAGAGTACATGGATGTCGGAAAATAAAACCCGGAGTCTATACAAAATACCCCGCCGCAGCGAACCTGCTGACTAAGCGAATTTTCATTGACCCGGCTTGTTTGTGCTAAAATAATCCCAAAAAATTGTCAGATTTATTTCCTATTTAAATAAAACTAATTTTAATGAGTAGGCCTACTTAGGTTTGCTGCTAACTTACCTACAGTGAAAATATTGAGGTGTGTTTATTTATTGAATTGTTGATACCATAGCTTAGTATAAAATAAAAAGAAATTGCCAACAAAAATTTATTTATTCTCCATAAGAAGAACATGGGACTGTTTATATAGTTATCGTAACTGTTGGGCACTATGCTTCAACGTACAAAATTATTTTTTTTTAAGTTCTAAAAAATCGTTTTAAGAATAATTATGAAATTTTGTGTTTTGTGTGGCATAAAAAAGAAAAATTAAATCAGTCCTGGGTCCAGGTCTTGCCATGAGACCTACGGTAATAAGTTATTCCCTACCTATATGGAAAATTCGTAAAAGCACATGAATAGAATAATTAATGTGAACGAAATAGTAAATTATGGTTGTGTTAACCCCTAATTATTAATGTGCCTACTGAGTGAACTGCACTGCTTTAGGGTTCTGCGCATCAGTCAAAGCGTGATTATCGCAAGACTGGTACACGGGGCAGTGGTCCGAGACTGTAGCTAGCGACACTTGACTTGCAAACGTCCCTCTAAGCAAAACAGAACAACACAAACTCTCGCAGAACAGTGCCCAGCTACCATTGGGTAACGCGGTGACATAAGTTAATCAAACACGCTTGTTGGGCTCTGCGCTGCATTAATGCTGCATCAATAACACTAGGAACGCAGCATGACATAATCTAAGTGTCATGAGACGAACGCGATAAAACTGGCCTTTATGGGATGGATAATAATACAAATATATTTAGGCTACCGGTACTCGACAAACTGCATATATTATGTTTCAATACCTAACATTCAACTGTAAAAAAATACTAATAATATAGGTGTGAATAAACGTTTTGTCAGTGCGGAGCAAAACTCTGCAGGTGCCCCCTCGGAAGAGTTAGGCCTAACCCTACAAAGTACTAAAAACATTTTGGCCTATTACTTATCTACTCACGATACCTTTTAAGTCTTAGCTAAGATCAAGTAGAACCGGAAGTTGTGGCCCTTACAAATGTGTCCATTGGGTTAACCTAAGTAGGCCTATGGATACAATACTGACAATATCTATAGCCTACTTTTCTTCTTATACTGAGAAAGCATCGATATTTTTTGTCGATAATTTATTGATACCAAATATCGGAAAGACAGAGGTATCGCAACATCCCTACCTTTAATAGGCCTACCTAGGCTACTTGCCCTAGCCTAGACCTACCGGTAGGCCAAGTTGGCATGCTACGTTACCCAAACCATAATCCAATCAAGCCTAGTTCTAGTTAACCCACACATAATTTTTGCCTCGTTAGAGCCTAGGCCTAGTTAAACTTCCTTGCATCATCGAACCATTGACTATATAACACTACATTACTATATGACTATATAACACCAGTAGTGTTATATAGTCAATGATCGAACGCAAGAGTTTGGCCTAGGCCTATGTCCTTAAGAAAATCAACTTTGACAAATAGGTAAGTTAGCCTACCTAAAATTAATTCAATAAGCCTATGTAGGCACATTGTACAGCCATGGAACTATTTTTATTCAGATTAAGAAATACAACTTAAAATATTTGTATACATTAACCAGTTAAAGTCTGACATTAAATAACCCTCCTACCTACCTAATAGAAATATATCCATCGATTGATCTGACAAACACATTTTGAAATTAATAGTAAATTAGTTATAAAGATTAGGAACCTAAGTTAGTAAGTTTTATTACTGGTTATTGTAGCTCCGCCCGCAACATTACTTACACAATAACAATAAAATAAACATAAACTCAATTAACCACCAAACCAAATCGTTCCGATTCCGATTCCGCCGTCCCGGACGCGGTGGTGGGGGGGGGGGTACTGAGTCCTGTTGAATGGAGTCGTAACAAAACGCTACCGTCCTCAAAAAATGCAGTAAATTCGTTATGGTCAAAGGTTTTTAAAAATAAAGACGTCAAAGGTTTTTAAAAATAAAGACATCTCAGTATTGTTAAAATTTGAGTGTTTTTACTCCGTAATAAGATCAATAATGTGTTATGCCGCACAAGTTTGGGGTTTTAAACTGTATAATGAAGTTGAACAACTTTTACGTTTTTTCGTCAAAAAGGTTTTTTGTTTACCTCAATGCACACCTAATTACATTATACTAGTGGTCGTCCTGTGGTCGAAACTCGACCAAAAATAATTAATGTACAGACTTCTCTACCCAATTTTCATTCATACGTTGAAACTTCACTTTGAATATGTTTTGAAAGTATTAAATATGCCCGAATCACGTTTACCAAAATTGTTAGCTAATGAAGTTATAAGAAAACAGATATTTTGGTATAGGGAATGGAAGAGTTTAGCAGAAAGTTTATCAGTGCACTTATCAGTAGAACAAAATGATATTAGCGAAACAAGATATCAGTTGGGTCAGCTGTTGTTTGCGGTCCGTGATAACGATCGCCAGCGTGTCCTTCAGACAGCCATGAATGCTCGCTATCATGCTATTTATAAATCACTTAGTTTTGATTTGAAAGATAATGGTTACATTTTTTCAAAGTTGGATTTTAATACAATTAAATGGATTTTCAAGTGTAGAGGTGAATTATTATATTTAAATTATAAACCATGGATACAAAATCAAAATCATAACTGTTCGTTATGCAATTTGGGGGAAGTAGAGGATGTTTACCACTTCGTTGCCAAGTGCCCGATACTGCGGCATTTTAGAATTTTTTGGTTCGGTTTAGAGGAGTTGTCCCGGGATACATTCACATCCTTGTTGAACTGGGCTGATTGGGTGCGGCTTGCCCGATTCCTACAGCAAGCTTGGCGGTAAGCCTACAGGTGGGAAATTATACAGGAATTTAATTATTAACCTTTTTTTTCAAGCTCTGAGCACTCTCTAGTTTTAAGAAAATTATAAGTTACAAATATATGTATAAATGTATAGAATAAAAAAAAACACAAAAAATAAATTAATTAAAAAAATTGTTTTAACTGAAATAGGCCTAATGGTACATCAGAAAGGTAATTTGAATATATACAAATGTACTGTACTTGTTTTATCTAGCATTTACAATGTGTTTGCCAACCCGGCTGATCGACGGTCTTATAAGACCAAGTTGGGAAAATGCGAGCCTACTGTGTGAGTCATGAACTGGTTATACTATGGAGATGTATTGTAAAACTTGTACTGTACTTAGATCATTTTGTAAATAAAGCATTGTTTTATTTCATTTCATTTCAAAAAAGGTCTTATATCTTCCCATGTATCTGGAAAACGCTGCATTAAGTTTTTTTGAAAATCTTGAAGTTAAAAACCCTCAGGCTACAAAACTGCTTTCTTATCGAATTTTGCACCAGTTGAAAGCAAAGAACTGCTTATGCTAGAGCTAAACTCACGCGTCCAACAACCTAATGAAACGGTAGCAGAATATACTGCTGACGTTGAAAAACTCTGCCGGCTTGTCGAATGGACGAGTCCAAAATCTACGGTCATATTCTAAAGGGGTTAAATCCTGCGATGTTGCAGCAAATTTTCATTTTGGAAAATACCACTCTAGGATTGTTCAAGGTGAACATTGCTAAATTTGAGCATGGTAATTACTTGTTAAGGCGTAGATTTGGGGTATTGGAGCCTAAGCAGTCCAATCATATGCTGATATTGAAGCCAAATTAAATTCTTTTACTGAAATGGTGCACGATATACACGTTTCTGCTAAAATCGACAGAGTTGAACGCTATGGTAAAGATAGAATCGACGACAGATCTCAAGACGACAGCAGGCGATCTCGTAGTTTACCACGTCATGAAGGAAATAGGTCGTCTAGTTCCCAAAAGTATCACCGATCACCTGCCAGATCACCATACCGCGAGGAGAATAGGAGACCAAGTTATCGCCATTCCCCCGCCCGAACCAGCTATAATAATCGAGATGAATGGGGACGTAGTCCTTACCGATCTGAAAGCCCTTACCACAAATAATCAAGTTCTCATACTCAGCTTAATTCGTATAGTGATCGTGATGACCGATACCCCCGCAGGGAAAATGTACATTCGACCTGGTAAACAGGTGCATTTCTCTAACTTCCCCAGTCAACCTTGTAGGAATTGTCATAACATAAGACATTTCACTGTTGACTGTCGTGCCCCTCGTTATCAAAAAAAACTAATTAGGCCAGGAGATAATGAACCTCCCCCCGCTGGCCAAATACCTCGGAAGTTTAACGACAGTGTACATAGACATAGACATAGACATATTTTATTTGCACATAACATTCTTTACATGTGTTACATACAGAATAGGTGCATTGTCAGAGTTAAAATTATCAGGATATAAAAAATAAAATAGTAATCAAGATAATAATATAAATTAACAAAATTGAATGATAAAACTATTCTAAACTAAAGGGGCATTGTAATAATCTGCAATTAAATAAAAGGCTCTGTCAATTAAGAGTTCACCTATTTTATCTTTAAAATTATTTTCATTTAACAATTTATAGTTTGCAGGCAGCACATTGTACAGCCTCAGCCCAGCATATAGCGGACTTTTTTCATAAAGGGTCAAATGGTGCCTTGGAAATCTAAAAATGTTTTCATTTCGAGTATTATATCTATGGTTGATTTGAATTGATTCTGGGAGGTTGTTTTTAGCTGAATGAATGTAGTTTAGTGATTCCAAAATGTACAGTCCTGTTAGGGTGTGGATTTTTAAATTTCGAAAAAGGTTTTTGCATGAACTACGTGGATGAGAGCAGGTCATAATACGGGTAATGCGTTTTTGTAGCCAGGGCCGCGTTAAGGGTCAGTGGAGCCCTGGGCAAACCCAAAAGCAGTGCCCCCTTTTTTCCTTGTGCAGGCAGGCGGTGGTTGAGGGGCACCCGGTGGGCGCCCCCAAACCTCCGGCGCCCCTGGGCATATGCCCAGTCTGCCCGTTTATAAAAGTGGGCCTGTTTGTAGCCTAAATATTGATTTGACTCCAGTAGCCTGACCCCATAAGATTATACCATACCTCAATACTGATTCCACATAGACATGATAAACCATTTTCAGAGTTTCTTTAGGAACACAGTCCCTTAAGTGCAGAAATACAATTGACATGGATCTAAGTTTACTTTTTAATTGATTCAGATGTACATCCCATTTTAGTGATTCATCTATGTAAACACCTAGAAATTTATGAGAAGTTGCCAATTTAAGGGATTCAATTTTATTACAATTATTTCTGACGAAAAATTGTATTGTTTCCGTTTTTTTCAAGATTAAGATTTAATCCATTGTTCAAGAACCAACCCTCCATGTCATGAACCACATTTTCAAGAGAAGATAGCATTTCAGAAGTACTATTATTTTTTATCAAGGCTGTTGTATTATCTGCAAAAAGAATTAGTTCCTGATTAATAGCTTTAGGGAGGTCATTAATGTAAATTAGAAAGAATAGAGGACCTAAGATTGAACCTTGGGGCACACCTGCCGATAGGTTTTCCCATGGCGAATAGTACTTGATCTTATCCAGTGTTATTACAGTTCTTTGTTTTCTATTAGAAAGGTAAGAACTCAATAGAGAGTGACAACTTCCCCTAATACCATAATCACTCAACTTGAGCTGAAGGACTGAGTGATCAACACAGTCAAAAGCTTTGGACAGGTCACAGAAAACACCAGCTATAGCCTGAGACCCGTCCAAAGCCTGGGTAACCTCATTTATAAACTGTGTTAGTGCAGAACCTGTGCTTAAATTTTTCCTGAATCCAAATTGTTTGTTATAAAATAGATGATTGCTTTCAAAATAACTAACCAATCTCAAATTTATGACCTTTTCAAATATTTTAGAAAAATTACTCAACACAGAAATTGGACGGTAATTGTTAATATCCGATTTAAGGCCCTTTTTAAATATTGGTGAGATTTGGGAAAGTTTTAGTTTATCCGGAAAAATTCCATGTATTAAACACTGGTTAATAATTTGAGATAAAGGTTCGGCAATGACATTAACAGTGGCTTTTATCAATTTAATTGGGATCTCATCCCAGCCAACGGATGATTTGTTTTTTAGTGACAGAACAATCTTTTTGATTTTCTCCACATTAGTTAGCCTGAGGCTGCACAAGGATATCCCATTATCATTACAGATATGTTTCACTGAAGCATGGACTCCATTGACAGTAGCCTTTTGAACATTTAAGTTACTTACTGTAATCGAAAAAAAATTGTTAAAAACTTTAGCAATACTTCCAGGATTACCAAGCTCATAACCATTTGTATCTTTCAAAACTATTCTTTCTTTTGGTTTTTGGTTTGTATTGCCAAGCTCTTGATTTACAATTTGCCAAGCTGCCTTAGTTTTGTTTTCTGATGTTTTTATAAAATTGCTATTCGCTAGTAATTTTGCTTTTTTTACAACTTTGTTAAATATCTATATATATAAAAGGCAAAGCCCTCACTGACTGACTCACTCATCACTAATTCTCCCACTTCCCATTTACCTAGGAGGCAGAAATTTGGTACACTGATTCTTTAGGCATTAAATAGGAAAACTAAGCTATTTTTATTCTGATCGGACTCTCGGGCTCCGCCCCAGTGGCTCTGGAGTTTCCCATGTTAACCTTATGAGTAATCATATTTAAATGGAATTGATGAATCTTAACAGCTGTTTCAATTAAACAAGTTGGTACTGTTCTATGATGTTCAATAGCATTAAAGTTACAAGGATTACCAACAGGGTGCAGCACTATTATTTTTTTTTTTTATTTATGACAACAGCTAATTTGCAACCAAAAGGTGA